TTTTATTATTAAAATTTATTGAGTATTTATTTAAATTGTTATTTTAATTATTGAATATTTTAAGGTTTACTTCCAAACACCTATCTTAAAAATGAATTTCATTTATTTTTTGATAACCAGCCTAAGGAAATGTTTTTTTTCAGTCTTAATATTTATCACGGTAAGGTAGCATAGAACAACAACGAACCACCTTGGGCTCTACACACCCTTAAAAACATCGAAAAACTGTTAAAAAAACTTTCAGAAAATAACTCGAAAAAACATCAATAAGCTCTTTATTACTTAAACAAAACAAAAAAATATACAAAAATTATAAATTTTCTATTTAAAGGTGAAATGTTAATTCTTCACTGCAGTAAACAAGATTAGGTTTTGTTGAACAACCACGAACTACCGTGGATCTCAAACATCTTTGAAAAATCAAAATAAAAATTTTGAAAACCTACTGAAAAGTTAGTTTGTGAGGAGTTTATTTGTTAAACGAGATTAAAAATGCTAAAAATAAAAAAACTAATTTATATTTCATATTAATAGCGACACATAGTGTGTAGTAGCAAGTTGCAACTACATTGTACTTCAAACACCATTCAAAAATCGAAAAAGGGTAAAAACTTTATAAAAATCAGTCAGACAAGTTTATATTCGCTCTATTTGTTACATAAAACATAAAATGCTTTGGAAAATATTAAAATTAGATTTTATATGAAGAACTATAAAGAGAACATTTTTTGAAGTGGCACTATTGGTACACGAAACGTAACAGATTTTAAACCTCCTTAAAAAATCGAAAACTTTTGAAAACCTTAAAGAAAAAATTCAGACATGTTAACGAGTCTTTTATATATTTAACAAACAAAAACTACAATGGAAACAGTTAAAATATTTTTTTTTTTTATGTTAACTTGACAGTGACCCTAATCATGCCTTTGTATTGGATACAAGGGAAGCCATCTTGGATAAACCGTTTATAATAATGTTTTAAATCAAGTCTGTATTGAAGCATATTCATGATATATTGAAGATAAAAACAAATACCTTAACAATTTTAAAATATTTATATTTTTTTAATTTTTATAACTATTGCCTGACGTATTCTCATAGACAACTTTTTATGTAGCATAAGGTCAAACTAAAACGTGTTATAAAATACCTTAACTTAAGAAATGTGGTTATTTGTTAATTGATTCTTAAAGTTAAAAGTTTAAATTTTCCTTTGTGTTATTTAATATTAATATATAAGAAAGAATTCAAATTAAAAACTATGTTTTTAAATAAAATGCTCATGTTACGTATGTTAATGTTCAAGTTCGAGCTGTAATAAAAATGCACTAAAACTAGACATTACAATTTTTACATTTCTAATTGCTTAATGGAATATTTGAGCATACAACAGAACAAAAACATTAATTGAATTTAAGACCTAAACGAACGAAATAAAAGAATTAAGTTTTTACTTCAAGCAAACATTAGCAGAGCAAATGACTGATTGGATACCCAGAGTTGAAGTGCTCTCCTCCCCGCTTCTCATTCGAACGAAGGAGGTCGGCAACAAACGCGCGCGCCATTTTCTAAGCAAAAAAGTGTATTTTAGTGAAGAAAAATGTCTGATTCTGCAGTTGCGACGTCCGCTTCCCCAGTGGCTGCCCCACCAGCGCCAGTTGAGAAGAAGGTGGCCGCCAAAAAGGCTTCTGGATCCACTGCCGCAAAGGCAAAGAAGGTCGCCGCGCCACCATCTCACCCACCAACACAGCAAATGGTAGACGCCTCTATCAAGAACTTGAAAGAACGTGGCGGCTCGTCTCTCCTTGCAATTAAGAAATATATCACTGCCACTTACAAATGCGATGCCCAGAAACTGGCTCCATTCATCAAAAAGTATTTGAAATCTGCCGTGGTCAACGGAAAACTGATCCAAACAAAAGGAAAAGGTGCGTCTGGTTCATTTAAACTATCGGCCTCCGCCAAAAAGGATCCCAAGCCTAAGGCTGCGTCTGCTGAAAAGAAAGTGAAAAGCAAGAAGGTAGTCGCCAAGAAGGCCGGAGCTGGAGCCACCACTAAGAAAGCTGCCGGAGCTGCTGACAAGAAGCCCAAGGCAAAGAAGGCTGTGGCCACCAAAAAGACCGCCGAGAAAAAGAAAACCGAGAAGGCAAAGGCGAAGGATGCCAAGAAAACGGGAACCGTTAAGGCAAAGCCAGCAGCAGCAGCAAAAGCCAAGTCTACTTCAGCAAAGCCAAAGGCAGCCGTCAAAGCACCAAAAGCCAAGCCGGCGGCTTCTGCCAAGCCCAAAAAGGTGGTGAAGAAGGCAGTTGCTCCCGCTACCGCTAAAAAGCCGAAAGCAAAAACAACGGCAGCCAAGAAATAAACTGCGTACACGCTCGATGTCGCTGTACAGTCGCAATTTCAGATTTCGAAATCTGAGATTCGTTTAAACAAGCCCTTTTCAGGGCTACAAACTAAGTCTTTAAGAGAAATAATCTTTCGATTCGACATTTTAATGTCATATATTATTAATTGTTTATTGCGTTTTGCTATTGTCTGTTAAACTAAATTTACTGATTTTCGCAGTGAGCACCATAATGTTTATCAACATTATAAGTAAGTCAATAAAATCAGACTTTGGTACTGGCAAAGATTAATCAGATTAGTCTGAAGATCAAATAAAACAAAAGAAAAGTCCAGCTTATATTAACATGTTATGTATTATCTCCTTGGCAGGAATTGCTGAAAAATTGAATATTGAAAATGTACTTTCTTTGGTAAACATTTTTGTGGCCCTGAAAAGGGCCGTTTTTGATATTTCTTTGCATCCATAGCGAGAGAAAATTACTTGGAGCTGGTGTACTTGGTGACAGCCTTGGTTCCCTCACTGACAGCGTGCTTGGCCAACTCTCCCGGCAGGAGCAAGCGTACGGCCGTTTGAATTTCCCGACTGGTAATGGTCGAGCGCTTGTTGTAGTGAGCCAGGCGAGAAGCCTCGGCAGCAATGCGCTCGAAGATATCATTCACAAAGCTGTTCATGATGCTCATCGCCTTCGACGAAATACCAGTATCAGGGTGGACCTGCTTCAGGACCTTGTAAATGTAGATGGCGTAGCTCTCCTTCCTCTTACGCTTCTTCTTCTTGTCGTTCTTGGTGATATTCTTCTGAGCCTTGCCAGCCTTCTTGGCTGCCTTTCCACTTGTTTTCGGCGGCATTTTCTCACTTCACAAACACAGTTCACTGGTTATAATGGGAGCCCAGTTCGTGCGTTCGTCTTATACTTTTTTTCGAACAAACTCTTCGGCCCAAGGCACAATCCACCCCTAAACGAACGCGCTGTCGGTCGAAAAAGTATAAATGTCTGGCCGCCAGCTGCCTGGCTCACAAACATTTGTTTCCCGTGTGAAAAGTGAATTTAGTGAGAAGTAAAGAAAAATGTCTGGTCGTGGAAAAGGTGGCAAAGTGAAGGGAAAGGCAAAGTCCCGCTCCAACCGTGCTGGTCTTCAGTTCCCAGTGGGCCGTATTCACCGTCTGCTTCGCAAGGGAAACTATGCCGAGCGTGTTGGTGCCGGCGCTCCAGTTTATCTGGCTGCCGTGATGGAATATCTGGCCGCTGAGGTTCTCGAGTTGGCTGGCAATGCAGCTCGTGACAACAAGAAGACTAGGATCATTCCGCGTCATCTGCAGCTGGCCATCCGCAACGACGAGGAGTTGAACAAACTGCTCTCTGGCGTAACCATTGCACAGGGTGGAGTGTTGCCCAACATCCAAGCTGTTCTGTTGCCCAAAAAGACCGAGAAGAAGGCTTAAACGTTCTAAAAACGAAGGAGAGCGACTTCGTCATGTACATAACAAAAACCCAACCGTCCTTTTCAGGACGACCAAGTTTTAAACAAAGAATTGTTAAGATTTTCAAATGCTTATAGAGATATTATAGAATAAGAATCAGTATTAGCTTTTGCCAATATATTTTTTAATGTTTTTAACTCCGATTAAAATTGGAATACTTCGTTAACAGTGCCACGTGCAAGACTAACAAAAAAAAAACTGATCCAAGGCTCTGTATTGTTAGTAATCGGTAATCATCAGGGTTGCCAACTCTACGTCTTTTTACGTAGATCTACGTACTTTAAGCCTTTCTTGCAAACCTACGAACTTAAGGTCCCAGAATCTACGTATTTTCTATCAAAATTGTTCAAATTTGCAAAATAGACTGAATGGGCATAATTACCTTTATTTTCGCGAAAAAAATTAATAAACGTTCCGTTTCATACTAACGGACACCCCTAGCCTCTTGTTTAAATTTTTAAATTAACTACAGGTGTCATAGGTTTACCAGAATCTCGTGGCAAATAAGCCAAACTTTATACACAAATATATTAAAATCCATTCATTATTTAGCCTTATTCATTTCATACTCTATGTGCAAATATATAAATATCTATATAAACAGATCATTTACTGGTAATAAATAAATATATGGTTTTATATTTGCATGTAAAGTTTGGCTTATTTGCCAAGAGATTCTGGTAGACCTATAATTCATAGATTTTTATTATTTTTAAATTTGTTGTTTGTTTGCTGTCTATTTTTTTACTTACTTTTACCTACCCTACTCTCTTAATTCCACTCAGAAAAAAAAGTACGTAGATCTACGTATTTTTTATATGGCAATTTCACATTTCTACATAACTTTTTTTATCTGACCTACGCCTTTTTTAAAATCCGAGTTGGCAACCCTGGTAATCATAGCGGAAACTGAATGCATTCGCAGTAGCGTTTAATTAAACATGGCAGTTCCTCAGTACAAGTCTGTAAGACACAAAAGCAGCAGCTGCGCTAAATAAAACAGATGTCTGCTTTCAGGCAACAATAATCAAACATTACATTTAAGAGTGCAGTTTAATATTTCCAATATTTTTGGAGCATTGGCTATATTAATATTAAAAAAAAAAATACATTTAACTAATAAAGACAGATATAATTGAAAATTCATCTCCTTTAAAATATGAATTTGTGGTCCTGAAAAGGACCGATTGCTTATTGATGTACAGGCTGCTGTACGATTTGTTTAACCGCCGAAACCGTACAGGGTGCGGCCTTGCCTTTTCAGGGCGTACACAACGTCCATGGCTGTGACTAGAGCTGGAAAACAATCGATGTCTGGGACCATCGATGTTTTCGATGTTTTTGAAAGTAAACATCGATGAAACATCGATGTTTTCAGTTAAAACACAAAAATAACAATTAACGAGATTTTTATTTGAGATCACTATTTTTGTTTAGGAACAAAAGTTTGTCCACAATGTTGGGTTTTAGTGCGCATCTCCTGTCAGACACAATCTAAATAATAAAAATAAAAACAGCATGCAATGAGTATATGCATAAATTCCGGCTTTTTCAATGCGTTTGCATACCAATACATACGCATGGCATGTATACATTTTCACTTGAATGCAAAGCGTCATTTTGAAACAATACTTACTTTTTACAAACTTATCCATTTTGTAGCACTACGCCTACAACCAGCACCACCACTTGCTTCCAAGGAATTTATATTTTCACTACATGTAATTAAATATTTAATATAATTAAAATAATGCGACACAAAACCCATTTTACTTACACGTTGTCCTCAATGCACAGAATTAATGAAAACAATCGATAGTGGCCAACGAACCATCGATGTTTAGAAAATTTTTAAAACATCGATGGTATCGATAGTGCCATCGATTGTTTTCCAGCTCTAGCTGTGACCGTCTTCCTCTTGGCGTGTTCGGTGTAGGTAACTGCATCGCGGATAACGTTCTCCAAAAATACCTTTAGAACACCGCGTGTTTCCTCGTAAATAAGTCCAGATATGCGCTTCACTCCGCCACGACGAGCCAAACGGCGGATAGCAGGCTTTGTAATACCCTGGATGTTATCACGCAACACTTTGCGATGACGCTTTGCGCCACCTTTTCCTAAGCCTTTGCCTCCTTTGCCGCGACCAGTCATTTTTCACTACTCTTTACTGTTAACACTGCACGAAACGAAAGTCACTGAAGAACTGACTACAATTTCGACGTGCCCCTATTTATACCTAAACCCAGAAAACCAGAGCGGGTCCGAACGACATGTTGTCTTGCTCTTTGCTCGGCAAACGAGACGCCTTGTATCTCCCTCTCTCTCGATCAGTTCAACCCTCCACGATTTGCTATATAAGTAGGTAGCAGACGCGCCGAACGTTCACTGTGTTTTAGTTTCAGACGTGAAGTGAACAGAAGTGAATTGAAAGCGAAAACTGAAAATGGCTCGTACCAAGCAAACCGCTCGCAAATCGACTGGTGGCAAGGCGCCACGCAAACAACTGGCTACTAAAGCCGCTCGTAAGAGCGCCCCAGCCACCGGAGGCGTGAAGAAGCCTCATCGCTATCGCCCCGGAACTGTGGCCCTGCGTGAGATCCGCCGCTACCAGAAAAGTACCGAGCTGTTGATCCGCAAACTGCCTTTCCAGCGTCTGGTGCGTGAAATCGCTCAAGACTTCAAGACTGACTTGCGATTCCAGAGTTCGGCGGTGATGGCTCTACAGGAGGCTAGCGAAGCCTATTTGGTTGGTCTCTTTGAAGACACCAACTTGTGTGCCATTCATGCTAAGCGAGTCACAATTATGCCCAAGGACATTCAGTTGGCCCGTCGCATTCGCGGCGAGCGTGCTTAAGGGGTTATATACCTTTTTGAGCGAAAAAAATGAGGGAACTTTGGATTTTTTTTCAGGTGTGTAGCAATTATTTTATGATACTGAGGTTATTATTTATTGATAGTACATGTTTTTATAGACACAACAAACGTTTGTTCTTAAAAAATATAAATAACTTTCGAAGTTATGGCAATTCTCTCATAACCCTTTTTTTGTTATAGCGGCTTGCGGTGACCACGATGGAAGTCCAGCGGGTCAACTAAAATCAATAAACCAAAAAGTTTTTATTAGTTTAGTATTATTTCTAGTTCGTCATTGAATTACTTCAAGAATATTTGGTTTTTTCTGCATACAGTAACAATTTTTTCAAAAAATTGATTTTTCGAGCTCTAAAAATTTTATTAAAAATTTCTTATCTGCAAAATCGAAATTGCCGCATAAAAACTGATTCAATGACGAACTCAGCACAATCATAACGAATGTTTTAAAAAAAAAATTGAAGAAGATCGATCAAATAGTTCTTGTGCAATCGCGGTCACAGCAAAGGCACTTTTGGAAAAAAACGACTTTGAGATAATCGCATTCATAGTTTTACGTTGCGTTACAAAGAGTGACGAACCGCGCCTCAAAACGCTGTTTTTCTATCGAACTATTATTCGGATCTCTTCAAAAATTTGGGAAAATGTACTCTAGGGGATATACTTTAGGATTCAGCTAAAAAAAATTTTTTCGTTTTTTTGAAAAAAAAAAAGGTATATAACCCCTTAAGTTGAAACGGCTTCAAGTGGCAGCAATGCGCTTTTATTTGTACAAATCGGTCCTTTTCAGGACCACAAAAAGTACTCAATGAGATTAGATTTTCATTTTTTTTTATTAATAAAATTTATTGAGTATTTATTTAAATTGTTATTTTAATTATTGAATATTTTAAGGTTTACTTCCAAACACCTATCTTAAAAATGAATTTCATTTATTTTTTGATAACCAGCCCTAAGGAAATGTTTTTTTTCAGTCTTAATATTTATCACGGTAAGGTAGCATAGAACAACAACGAACCACCTTGGGCTCTACACACCCTTAAAAACATCGAAAAACTGTTAAAAAAAACTTTCAGAAAATAACTCGAAAAAACATCAATAAGCTCTTTATTACTTAAACAAAACAAAAAAATATACAAAAATTATAAATTTTCTATTTAAAGGTGAAATGTTAATTCTTCACTGCAGTAAACAAGATTAAGTTTTGTTGAACAACCACGAACTACCGTGGATCTCAAACATCTTTGAAAAATCAAAATAAAAATTTTGAAAACCTACTGAAAAGTTAGTTTGTGAGGAGTTTATTTGTTAAACGAGATTAAAAATGCTAAAAATAAAAAAACTAATTTATATTTCATATTAATAGCGACACATAGTGTGTAGTAGCAAGTTGCAACTACATTGTACTTCAAACACCATTCAAAAATCGAAAAAGGGTAAAAACTTTATAAAAATCAGTCAGACAAGTTTATATTCGCTCTATTTGTTACATAAAACATAAAATGCTTTGGAAAATATTAAAATTAGATTTTATATGAAGAACTATAAAGAGAACATTTTTTGAAGTGGCACTATTGGTACACGAAACGTAACAGATTTTAAACCTCCTTAAAAAATCGAAAAACTTTTGAAAACCTTAAAGAAAAAATTCAGACATGTTAACGAGTCTTTTATATATTTAACAAACAAAAACTACAATGGAAACAGTTAAAATATTTTTTTTTTTTTATGTTAACTTGACAGTGACCCTAATCATGCCTTTATATAGGATACAAGGGAAGCCATCTTGGATAAACCGTTTATAATAATGTTTTAAATCAAGTCTGTATTGAAGCATATTCATGATATATTGAAGATAAAAACAAATACCTTAACAATTTTAAAATATTTATATTTTTTTAATTTTTATAACTATTGCCTGACGTATTCTCATAGACAACTTTTTATGTAGCATAAGGTCAAACTAAAACGTGTTATAAAATACCTTAACTTAAGAAATGTGGTTATTTGTTAATTGATTCTTAAAGTTAAAAGTTTAAATTTTCCTTTGTGTTATTTAATATTAATATATAAGAAAGAATTCAAATTAAAAACTATGTTTTTAAATAAAATGCTCATGTTACGTATGTTAATGTTCAAGTTCGAGCTGTAATAAAAATGCACTAAAACTAGACATTACAATTTTTACATTTCTAATTGCTTAATGGAATATTTGAGCATACAACAGAACAAAAACATTAATTGAATTTAAGACCTAAACGAACGAAATAAAAGAATTAAGTTTTTACTTCAAGCAAACATTAGCAGAGCAAATGACTGATTGGATACCCACAGTTGAAGTGCTCTCCTCCTCGCTTCTCATTCGAACGAAGGAGGTCGGCAACAAACGCGCGCGCCATTTTCGAAGCAAAAAAGTGTATTTTAGTGAAGAAAAATGTCTGATTCTGCAGTTGCGACGTCCGCTTCCCCAGTGGCTGCCCCACCAGCGCCAGTTGAGAAGAAGGTGGCCGCCAAAAAGGCTTCTGGATCCACTGCCGCAAAGGCAAAGAAGGTCGCCGCGCCACCATCTCACCCACCAACACAGCAAATGGTAGACGCCTCTATCAAGAACTTGAAAGAACGTGGCGGCTCGTCTCTCCTTGCAATTAAGAAATATATCACTGCCACTTACAAATGCGATGCCCAGAAACTGGCTCCATTCATCAAAAAGTATTTGAAATCTGCCGTGGTCAACGGAAAACTGATCCAAACAAAAGGAAAAGGTGCGTCTGGTTCATTTAAACTATCGGCCTCCGCCAAAAAGGATCCCAAGCCTAAAGCTACGTCTGCTGAAAAGAAAGTGAAAAGCAAGAAAGTAGTCGCCAAGAAGGCCGGAGCTGGAGCCACCACTAAGAAAGCTGCCGGAGCTGCTGAGAAGAAGCCCAAGGCAAAGAAGGCTGTGGCCACCAAAAAGACCGCCGAGAAAAAGAAAACCGAGAAGGCAAAGGCGAAGGATGCCAAGAAAACGGGAACCGTTAAGGCAAAGCCAGCAGCAGCAGCAAAAGCCAAGTCTACTTCAGCAAAGCCAAAGGCAGCCGTCAAAGCACCAAAAGCCAAGCCGGCGGCTTCTGCCAAGCCCAAAAAGGTGGTGAAGAAGGCAGTTGCTCCCGCTACCGCTAAAAAGCCGAAAGCAAAAACAACGGCAGCCAAGAAATAAACTGCGTACACGCTCGATGTCGCTGTACAGTCGCAATTTCAGATTTCGAAATCTGAGATTCGTTTAAACAAGCCCTTTTCAGGGCTACAAACTAAGTCTTTAAGAGAAATAATCTTTCAATTCGACATTTTAATGTCATATATTATTAATTGTTTATTGCGTTTTGCTATTGTCTGTTAAGGGGTTATATACCTTTTTCAGACTCAAAAAATCGAAAAAAATTTTATGATTTTTTTTTTTATGTACATACTATCAACAATTTTTCTGCAAAATTTTTTAGAGATCGGGGCACTAGAACCTAAGATACAGCCGTTCATAGCGCACGGTGAACATGACTACCTAATGTCCACCGAAAACTTTAAACGCGATTATCTCGGAGTCGCATTTTTGAGAAAAGGTCATTGCGGTGAGCACGATATCTCGGTAACCACTACATCGATCGATTTGAAATTTTGGGGGATTGTTTGTAGATACAATAGCTAGTTCGTGAACGAAGGAATTTTTTTTTCGACAAATTTTTCTATTTTTTTGGGGCGAAAAACTAAATTATTAGACCTCGAAAAATCGGTTTTTTTGAAAAAATAATCACTGTAACTGTAAAAAATTTTTTTTCGTAAAATCCTTCGTTCACGAACTAGGTAACACTATATACTAACGTAGTTTTTTTTCATTTTTTTTTAAGTTGAGCCGTTTTCTTGTTTTCATGCTCACCGCAAGCCTCTAATGAAAAAAGGACTTCTGCGGGAAGGACTATAACTTCCACAATACTCAAAATTTTCACTCGAAATTTTGTACGAATTGAGTTAAGGACACGTACTTTGATAAAATTTTTATTGAGTTTAAATAAAACAATGGTAACATGCTAAAAAAAAATAAATAAAAACCATGTATTTCTCTGGTGAAAAAGGTATATAACCCCTTAAACTAAATTTACTGATTTTCGCAGTGAGCACCATAATGTTTATCAACATTATAAGTAAGTCAATAAAATCAGACTTTGGTACTGGCAAAGATTAATCAGATTAGTCTGAAGATCAAATAAAACAAAAGAAAAGTCCAACTTATATTAACATGTTATATATTATCTCCTTGGCAGGAATTGCTGAAAAATTGAATATTGAAAATGTACTTTCTTTGGTAAACATTTTTGTGGCCCTGAAAAGGGCCGTTTTTGATATTTCTACGCATCCGTAGCGAGAGAAAATTACTTGGAGCTGGTGTACTTGGTGACAGCCTTGGTTCCCTCACTGACAGCGTGCTTGGCCAACTCTCCCGGCAGGAGCAAGCGTACGGCCGTTTGAATTTCCCGACTGGTAATGGTCGAGCGCTTGTTGTAGTGAGCCAGGCGAGAAGCCTCGGCAGCAATGCGCTCGAAGATATCATTCACAAAGCTGTTCATGATGCTCATCGCCTTCGACGAAATACCAGTATCAGGGTGGACCTGCTTCAGGACCTTGTAAATGTAGATGGCGTAGCTCTCCTTCCTCTTACGCTTCTTCTTCTTGTCGTTCTTGGTGATATTCTTCTGAGCCTTGCCAGCCTTCTTGGCTGCCTTTCCACTTGTTTTCGGCGGCATTTTCTCACTTCACAAACACAGTTCACTGGTTATAATGGGAGCCCAGTTCGTGCGTTCGTCTTATACTTTTTTTCGAACAAACTCTTCGGCCCAAGGCACAATCCACCCCTAAACGAACGCGCTGTCGGTCGAAAAAGTATAAATGTCTGGCCGCCAGCTGCCTGGCTCACAAACATTTGTTTCCCGTGTGAAAAGTGAATTTAGTGAGAAGTAAAGAAAAATGTCTGGTCGTGGAAAAGGTGGCAAAGTGAAGGGAAAGGCAAAGTCCCGCTCCAACCGTGCTGGTCTTCAGTTCCCAGTGGGCCGTATTCACCGTCTGCTTCGCAAGGGAAACTATGCCGAGCGTGTTGGTGCCGGCGCTCCAGTTTATCTGGCTGCCGTGATGGAATATCTGGCCGCTGAGGTTCTCGAGTTGGCTGGCAATGCAGCTCGTGACAACAAGAAGACTAGGATCATTCCGCGTCATCTGCAGCTGGCCATCCGCAACGACGAGGAGTTGAACAAACTGCTCTCTGGCGTAACCATTGCACAGGGTGGAGTGTTGCCCAACATCCAAGCTGTTCTGTTGCCCAAAAAGACCGAGAAGAAGGCTTAAACGTTCTAAAAACGAAGGAGAGCGACTTCGTCATGTACATAACAAAAACCCAACCGTCCTTTTCAGGACGACCAAGTTTTAAACAAAGAATTGTTAAGATTTTCAAATGCTTATAGAGATATTATAGAATAAGAATCAGTATTAGCTTTTGCCAATATATTTTTTAATGTTTTTAACTCCGATTAAAATTGGAATACTTCGTTAACAGTGCCACGTGCAAGACTAACAAAAAAAAAACTGATCCAAGGCTCTGTATTGTTAGTAATCGGTAATCATAGCGGAAACTGAATGCATTCGCAGTAGCGTTTAATTAAACATGGCAGTTCCTCAGTACAAGTCTGTAAGACACAAAAGCAGCAGCTGCGCTAAATAAAACAGATGTCTGCTTTCAGGCAACAATAATCAAACATTACATTTAAGAGTGCAGTTTAATATTTCCAATATTTTTGGAGCATTGGCTATATTAATATTAAAAAAAAATACATTTAACTAATAAAGACAGATATAATTGAAAATTCATCTCCTTTAAAATATGAATTTGTGGTCCTGAAAAGGACCGATTGCTTATTGATGTACAGGCTGCTGTACGATTTGTTTAACCGCCGAAACCGTACAGGGTGCGGCCTTGCCTTTTCAGGGCGTACACAACGTCCATGGCTGTGACCGTCTTCCTCTTGGCGTGTTCGGTGTAGGTAACTGCATCGCGGATAACGTTCTCCAAAAATACCTTTAGAACACCGCGTGTTTCCTCGTAAATAAGTCCAGATATGCGCTTCACTCCGCCACGACGAGCCAAACGGCGGATAGCAGGCTTTGTAATACCCTGGATGTTATCACGCAACACTTTGCGATGACGCTTTGCGCCACCTTTTCCTAAGCCTTTGCCTCCTTTGCCGCGACCAGTCATTTTTCACTACTCTTTACTGTTAACACTGCACGAAACGAAAGTCACTGAAGAACTGACTACAATTTCGACGTGCCCCTATTTATACCTAAACCCAGAAAACCAGAGCGGGTCCGAACGACATGTTGTCTTGCTCTTTGCTCGGCAAACGAGACGCCTTGTATCTCCCTCTCTCTCGATCAGTTCAACCCTCCACGATTTGCTATATAAGTAGGTAGCAGACGCGCCGAACGTTCACTGTGTTTTAGTTTCAGACGTGAAGTGAACAGAAGTGAATTGAAAGCGAAAACTGAAAATGGCTCGTACCAAGCAAACCGCTCGCAAATCGACTGGTGGCAAGGCGCCACGCAAACAACTGGCTACTAAAGCCGCTCGTAAGAGCGCCCCAGCCACCGGAGGCGTGAAGAAGCCTCATCGCTATCGCCCCGGAACTGTGGCCCTGCGTGAGATCCGCCGCTACCAGAAAAGTACCGAGCTGTTGATCCGCAAACTGCCTTTCCAGCGTCTGGTGCGTGAAATCGCTCAAGACTTCAAGACTGACTTGCGATTCCAGAGTTCGGCGGTGATGGCTCTACAGGAGGCTAGCGAAGCCTATTTGGTTGGTCTCTTTGAAGACACCAACTTGTGTGCCATTCATGCTAAGCGAGTCACAATTATGCCCAAGGACATTCAGTTGGCCCGTCGCATTCGCGGCGAGCGTGCTTAAGTTGAAACGGCTTCAAGTGGCAGCAATGCGCTTTTATTTGTACAAATCGGTCCTTTTCAGGACCACAAAAAGTACTCAATGAGATTAGATTTTCATTTTTTTTATTATTAAAATTTATTGAGTATTTATTTAAATTGTTATTTTAATTATTGAATATTTTAAGGTTTACTTCCAAACACCTATCTTAAAAATGAATTTCATTTATTTTTTGATAACCAGCCTAAGGAAATGTTTTTTTTCAGTCTTAATATTTATCACGGTAAGGTAGCATAGAACAACAACGAACCACCTTGGGCTCTACACACCCTTAAAAACATCGAAAAACTGTTAAAAAACTTTCAGAAAATAACTCGAAAAAACATCAATAAGCTCTTTATTACTTAAACAAAACAAAAAAATATACAAAAATTATAAATTTTCTATTTAAAGGTGAAATGTTAATTCTTCACTGCAATAACAAGATTAGGTTTTGTTGAACAACCACGAACTACCGTGGATCTCAAACATCTTTGAAAAATCAAAATAAAAATTTTGAAAACCTACTGAAAAGTTAGTTTGTGAGGAGTTTATTTGTTAAACGAGATTAAAAATGCTAAAAATAAAAAAACTAATTTATATTTCATATTAATAGCGACACATAGTGTGTAGTAGCAAGTTGCAACTACATTGTACTTCAAACACCATTCAAAAATCGAAAAAGGGTAAAAACTTTATAAAAATCAGTCAGACAAGTTTATATTCGCTCTATTTGTTACATAAAACATAAAATGCTTTGGAAAATATTAAAATTAGATTTTATATGAAGAACTATAAAGAGAACATTTTTTGAAGTGGCACTATTGGTACACGAAACGTAACAGATTTTAAACCTCCTTAAAAAATCGAAAAACTTTTGAAAACCTTAAAGAAAAAATTCAGACATGTTAACGAGTCTTTTATATATTTAACAAACAAAAACTACAATGGAAACAGTTAAAATATTTTTTTTTTTTATGTTAACTTGACAGTGACCCTAATCATGCCTTTGTATAGGATACAAGGGAAGCCATCTTGGATAAACCGTTTATAATAATGTTTTAAATCAAGTCTGTATTGAAGCATATTCATGATATATTGAAGATAAAAACAAATACCTTAACAATTTTAAAATATTTATATTTTTTTAATTTTTATAACTATTGCCTGACGTATTCTCATAGACAACTTTTTATGTAGCATAAGGTCAAACTAAAACGTGTTATAAAATACCTTAACTTAAGAAATGTGGTTATTTGTTAATTGATTCTTAAAGTTAAAAGTTTAAATTTTCCTTTGTGTTATTTAATATTAATATATAAGAAAGAATTCAAATTAAAAACTATGTTTTTAAATAAAATGCTCATGTTACGTATGTTAATGTTCAAGTTCGAGCTGTAATAAAAATGCACTAAAACTAGACATTACAATTTTTACATTTCTAATTGCTTAATGGAATATTTGAGCATACAACAGAACAAAAACATTAATTGAATTTAAGACCTAAACGAACGAAATAAAAGAATTAAGTTTTTACTTCAAGCAAACATTAGCAGAGCAAATGACTGATTGGATACCCAGAGTTGAAGTGCTCTCCTCCTCGCTTCTCATTCGAACGAAGGAGGTCGGCAACAAACGCGCGCGCCATTTTCTAAGCAAAAAAGTGTATTTTAGTGAAGAAAAATGTCTGATTCTGCAGTTGCGACGTCCGCTTCCCCCAGTGGCTGCCCCACCAGCGCCAGTTGAGAAGAAGGTGGCCGCCAAAAAGGCTTCTGGATCCACTGCCGCAAAGGCAAAGAAGGTCGCCGCGCCACCATCTCACCCACCAACACAGCAAATGGTAGACGCCTCTATCAAGAACTTGAAAGAACGTGGCGGCTCGTCTCTCCTTGCAATTAAGAAATATATCACTGCCACTTACAAATGCGATGCCCAGAAACTGGCTCCATTCATCAAAAAGTATTTGAAATCTGCCGTGGTCAACGGAAAACTGATCCAAACAAAAGGAAAAGGTGCGTCTGGTTCATTTAAACTATCGGCCTCCGCCAAAAAGGATCCCAAGCCTAAGGCTGCGTCTGCTGAAAAGAAAGTGAAAAGCAAGAAGGTAGTCGCCAAGAAGGCCGGAGCTGGAGCCACCACTAAGAAAGCTGCCGGAGCTGCTGACAAGAAGCCCAAGGCAAAGAAGGCTGTGGCCACCAAAAAGACCGCCGAGAAAAAGAAAACCGAGAAGGCAAAGGCGAAGGATGCCAAGAAAACGGGAACCGTTAAGGCAAAGCCAGCAGCAGCAGCAAAAGCCAAGTCTACTTCAGCAAAGCCAAAGGCAGCCGTCAAAGCACCAAAAGCCAAGCCGGCGGCTTCTGCCAAGCCCAAAAAGGTGGTGAAGAAGGCAGTTGCTCCCGCTACCGCTAAAAAGCCGAAAGCAAAAACAACGGCAGCCAAGAAATAAACTGCGTACACGCTCGATGTCGCTGTACAGTCGCAATTTCAGATTTCGAAATCTGAGATTCGTTTAAACAAGCCCTTTTCAGGGCTACAAACTAAGTCTTTAAGAGAAATAATCTTTCAATTCGACATTTTAATGTCATATATTATTAATTGTTTATTGCGTTTTGCTATTGTCTGTTAAACTAAATTTACTGATTTTCGCAGTGAGCACCATAATGTTTATCAACATTATAAGTAAGTCAATAAAATCAGACTTTGGTACTGGCAAAGATTAATCAGATTAGTCTGAAGATCAAATAAAACAAAAGAAAAGTCCAGCTTATATTAACATGTTATGTATTATCTCCTTGGCAGGAATTGCTGAAAAATTGAATATTGAAAATGTACTTTCTTTGGTAAACATTTTTGTGGCCCTGAAAAGGGCCGTTTTTGATATTTCTTTGCATCCATAGCGAGAGAAAATTACTTGGAGCTGGTGTACTTGGTGACAGCCTTGGTTCCCTCACTGACAGCGTGCTTGGCCAACTCTCCCGGCAGGAGCAAGCGTACGGCCGTTTGAATTTCCCGACTGGTAATGGTCGAGCGCTTGTTGTAGTGAGCCAGGCGAGAAGCCTCGGCAGCAATGCGCTCGAAGATATCATTCACAAAGCTGTTCATGATGCTCATCGCCTTCGACGAAATACCAGTATCAGGGTGGACCTGCTTCAGGACCTTGTAAATGTAGATGGCGTAGCTCTCCTTCCTCTTACGCTTCTTCTTCTTGTCGTTCTTGGTGATATTCTTCTGAGCCTTGCCAGCCTTCTTGGCTGCCTTTCCACTTGTTTTCGGCGGCATTTTCTCACTTCACAAACACAGTTCACTGGTTATAATGGACGCCCAGTGCGTTGCGCCTTATACTTTTTTTCGAACAATCTCTTCGGACCTAGCACAATCCACCCCTAAACGAACGCGCTGTCGGTCGAAAAAGTATAAATGTCTGGCCGCCAGCTGCCTGGCTCACAAACATTTGTTTCCCGTGTGAAAAGTGAATTTAGTGAGAAGTAAAGCAAAATGTCTGGTCGTGGAAAAGGTGGCAAAGTGAAGGGAAAGGCAAAGTCCCGCTCCAACCGTGCTGGTCTTCAGTTCCCAGTGGGCCGTATTCACCGTCTGCTTCGCAAGGGAAACTATGCCGAGCGTGTTGGTGCCGGCGCTCCAGTTTATCTGGCTGCCGTGATGGAATATCTGGCCGCTGAGGTTCTCGAGTTGGCTGGCAATGCAGCTCGTGACAACAAGAAGACTAGGATCATTCCGCGTCATCTGCAGCTGGCCATCCGCAACGACGAGGAGTTGAACAAACTGCTCTCTGGCGTAACCATTGCACAGGGTGGAGTGTTGCCCAACATCCAAGCTGTTCTGTTGCCCAAAAAGACCGAGAAGAAGGCTTAAACGTTCTAAAAACGAAGGAGAGCGACTTCGTCATGTACATAACAAAAACCCAACCGTCCTTTTCAGGACGACCAAGTTTTAAACAAAGAATTGTTAAGATTTTCAAATGCTTATAGAGATATTATAGAATAAGAATCAGTATTAGCTTTTGCCAATATATTTTTTAATGTTTTTAACTCCGATTAAAATTGGAATACTTCGTTAACAGTGCCACGTGCAAGACTAACAAAAAAAAAAACTGATCCAAGGCTCTGTATTGTTAGTAATCGGTAATCATAGCGGAAACTGAATGCATTCGCAGTAGCGTTTAATTAAACATGGCAGTTCCTCAGTACAAGTCTGTAAGACACAAAAGCAGCAGCTGCGCTAAATAAAACAGATGTCTGCTTTCAGGCAACAATAATCAAACATTACATTTAAGAGTGCAGTTTAATATTTCCAATATTTTTGGAGCATTGGCTATATTAATATTAAAAAAAAAATACATTTAACTAATAAAGACAGATATAATTGAAAATTCATCTCCTTTAAAATATGAATTTGTGGTCCTGAAAAGGACCGATTGCTTATTGATGTACAGGCTGCTGTACGATTTGTTTAACCGCCGAAACCGTACAGGGTGCGGCCTTGCCTTTTCAGGGCGTACACAACGTCCATGGCTGTGACCGTCTTCCTCTTGGCGTGTTCGGTGTAGGTAACTGCATCGCGGATAACGTTCTCCAAAAATACCTTTAGAACACCGCGTGTTTCCTCGTAAATAAGTCCAGATATGCGCTTCACTCCGCCACGACGAGCCAAACGGCGGATAGCAGGCTTTGTAATACCCTGGATGTTATCACGCAACACTTTGCGATGACGCTTTGCGCCACCTTTTCCTAAGCCTTTGCCTCCTTTGCCGCGACCAGTCATTTTTCACTACTCTTTACTGTTAACACTGCACGAAACGAAAGTCACTGAAGAACTGACTACAATTTCGACGTGCCCCTATTTATACCTAAACCCAGAAAACCAGAGCGGGTCCGAACGACATGTTGTCTTGCTCTTTGCTCGGCAAACGAGACGCCTTGTATCTCCCTCTCTCTCGATCAGTTCAACCCTCCACGATTTGCTATATAAGTAGGTAGCAGACGCGCCGAACGTTCACTGTGTTTTAGTTTCAGACGTGAAGTGAACAGAAGTGAATTGAAAGCGAAAACTGAAAATGGCTCGTACCAAGCAAACCGCTCGCAAATCGACTGGTGGCAAGGCGCCACGCAAACAACTGGCTACTAAAGCCGCTCGTAAGAGCGCCCCAGCCACCGGAGGCGTGAAGAAGCCTCATCGCTATCGCCCCGGAACTGTGGCCCTGCGTGAGATCCGCCGCTACCAGAAAAGTACCGAGCTGTTGATCCGCAAACTGCCTTTCCAGCGTCTGGTGCGTGAAATCGCTCAAGACTTCAAGACTGACTTGCGATTCCAGAGTTCGGCGGTGATGGCTCTACAGGAGGCTAGCGAAGCCTATTTGGTTGGTCTCTTTGAAGACACCAACTTGTGTGCCATTCATGCTAAGCGAGTCACAATTATGCCCAAGGACATTCAGTTGGCCCGTCGCATTCGCGGCGAGCGTGCTTAAGTTGAAACGGCTTCAAGTGGCAGCAATGCGCTTTTATTTGTACAAATCGGTCCTTTTCAGGACCACAAAAAGTACTCAATGAGATTAGATTTTCATTTTTTTTTATTATTAAAATTTATTGAGTATTTATTTAAATTGTTATTTTAATTATTGAATATTTTAAGGTTTACTTCCAAACACCTATCTTAAAAATGAATTTCATTTATTTTTTGATAACCAGCCTAAGGAAATGTTTTTTTTCAGTCTTAATATTTATCACGGTAAGGTAGCATAGAACAACAACGAACCACCTTGGGCTCTACACACCCTTAAAAACATCGAAAAACTGTTAAAAAACTTTCTGAAAATAACTCGAAAAAACATCAATAAGCTCTTTATTACTTAAACAAAACAAAAAAATATACAAAAATTATAAATTTGCTATTTAAAGGTGAAATGTTAATTCTTCACTGCAGTAAACAAGATTAGGTTTTGTTAAACAACCACGAACTACCGTGGATCTCAAACATCTTTGAAAAATCAAAATAAAAATTTTGAAAACCTACTGAAAAGTTAGTTTGTGAGGAGTTTATTTGTTAAACGAGATTAAAAATGCTAAAAATAAAAAAACTAATTTAAATTTCATATTAATAGCGACACATAGTGTGTAGTAGCAAGTTGCAACTACATTGTACTTCAAACACCATTCAAAAATCGAAAAAGGGTAAAAACTTTATAAAAATCAGTCAGACAAGTTTATATTCGCTCTATTTGTTACATAAAACATAAAATGCTTTGGAAAATATTAAAATTAGATTTTATATGAAGAACTATAAAGAGAACATTTTTTGAAGTGGCACTATTGGTACACGAAACGTAACAGATTTTAAACCTCCTTAAAAAATCGAAAAACTTTTGAAAACCTTAAAGAAAAAATTCAGACATGTTAACGAGTCTTTTATATATTTAACAAACAAAAACTACAATGGAAACAGTTAAAATATTTTTTTTTTTTTATGTTAACTTGACAGTGACCCTAATCATGCCTTTGTATAGGATACAAGGGAAGCCATCTTGGATAAACCGTTTATAATAATGTTTTAAATCAAGTCTGTATTGAAGCATATTCATGATATATTGAAGATAAAAACAAATACCTTAACAATTTTAAAATATTTATATTTTTTTAATTTTTATAACTATTGCCTGACGTATTCTCATAGACAACTTTTTATGTAGCATAAGGTCAAACTAAAACGTGTTATAAAATACCTTAACTTAAGAAATGTGGTTATTTGTTAATTGATTCTTAAAGTTAAAAGTTTAAATTTTCCTTTGTGTTATTTAATATTAATATATAAGAAAGAATTCAAATTAAAAACTATGTTTTTAAATAAAATGCTCATGTTACGTATGTTAATGTTCAAGTTCGAGCTGTAATAAAAATGCACTAAAACTAGACATTACAATTTTTACATTTCTAATTGCTTAATGGAATATTTGAGCATACAACAGAACAAAAACATTAATTGAATTTAAGACCTAAACGAACGAAATAAAAGAATTAAGTTTTTACTTCAAGCAAACATTAGCAGAGCAAATGACTGATTGGATACCCAGAGTTGAAGTGCTCTCCTCCTCGCTTCTCATTCGAACGAAGGAGGTCGGCAACAAACGCGCGCGCCATTTTCTAAGCAAAAAAGTGTATTTTAGTGAAGAAAAATGTCTGATTCTGCAGTTGCGACGTCCGCTTCCCCAGTGGCTGCCCCACCAGCGCCAGTTGAGAAGAAGGTGGCCGCCAAAAAGGCTTCTGGATCCACTGCCGCAAAGGCAAAGAAGGTCGCCGCGCCACCATCTCACCCACCAACACAGCAAATGGTAGACGCCTCTATCAAGAACTTGAAAGTAGGGTTGTTGATAATATATCAAAATATCAATATATCGATATTTTCTTTTTAAAATGATATATTTATATCGTAATTTTTTGTTTGCCTAAATATCGGAAAATCGATATATTTTTTTGATATTTTTTGATATTTTTGTCTTGGTTATTTTGAGTTCCAAAGCGACTTCAAGTGAACGAATTCGAGCGCAAAATAATATTTTCGCAAAATGCGCGCAAAAGAAGGAATGTACATATGTAATATGTGTGCGTATGGCCAGATTTCGTTGTCTATGTGTGCATATGTAACTTACGCACATACCACCGAAATTTGGCGCCAAACGCGCACACACACGTTGTTCACACATATGTATATTAATTAGTTTTCATTCTTAGCTGTCCACGAACTTTGAAGGTATTATGAAAATAACAGAGAATTTCAAGAATGCTGAAGTAAGGATTGTTAATAACAAAAAAACGGTGCAAAATTTTCACTTTCCGCCAACGGATTTCGAAGTCCGGACCGCACTTGTAAACAATTACCGAAACTTATTGTCTTTTTATTGTGGGCAGGAAATTTTTTTATTTAACACAAAAAATATCAAAAATATCAAATATATCGATATTTTTCGGTGATATTTAGAAATATTATTATCATATTATTTGATAAAAAAAATATCATCGATACGATATTTTTTAAAATTTCGACAACCCTACTTGAAAGAACGTGGCGGCTCGTCTCTCCTTGCAATTAAGAAATATATCACTGCCACTTACAAATGCGATGCCCAGAAACTGGCTCCATTCATCAAAAAGTATTTGAAATCTGCCGTGGTCAACGGAAAACTGATCCAAACAAAAGGAAAAGGTGCGTCTGGTTCATTTAAACTATCGGCCTCCGCCAAAAAGGATCCCAAGCCTAAGGCTGCGTCTGCTGAAAAGAAAGTGAAAAGCAAGAAGGTAGTCGCCAAGAAGGCCGGAGCTGGAGCCACCACTAAGAAAGCTGCCGGAGCTGCTGACAAGAAGCCCAAGGCAAAGAAGGCTGTGGCCACCAAAAAGACCGCCGAGAAAAAGAAAACCGAGAAGGCAAAGGCGAAGGATGCCAAGAAAACGGGAACCGTTAAGGCAAAGCCAGCAGCAGCAGCAAAAGCCAAGTCTACTTCAGCAAAGCCAAAGGCAGCCGTCAAAGCACCAAAAGCCAAGCCGGCGGCTTCTGCCAAGCCCAAAAAGGTGGTGAAGAAGGCAGTTGCTCCCGCTACCGCTAAAAAGCCGAAAGCAAAAACAACGGCAGCCAAGAAATAAACTGCGTACACGCTCGATGTCGCTGTACAGTCGCAATTTCAGATTTCGAAATCTGAGATTCGTTTAAACAAGCCCTTTTCAGGGCTACAAACTAAGTCTTTAAGAGAAATAATCTTTCAATTCGACATTTTAATGTCATATATTATTAATTGTTTATTGCGTTTTGCTATTGTCTGTTAAACTAAATTTACTGATTTTCGCAGTGAGCACCATAATGTTTATCAACATTATAAGTAAGTCAATAAAATCAGACTTTGGTACTGGCAAAGATTAATCAGATTAGTCTGAAGATCAAATAAAACAAAAGAAAAGTCCAGCTTATATTAACATGTTATGTATTATCTCCTTGGCAGGAATTGCTGAAAAATTGAATATTGAAAATGTACTTTCTTTGGTAAACATTTTTGTGGCCCTGAAAAGGGCCGTTTTTGATATTCTTTGCATCCATAGCGAGAGAAAATTACTTGGAGCTGGTGTACTTGGTGACAGCCTTGGTTCCCTCACTGACAGCGTGCTTGGCCAACTCTCCCGGCAGGAGCAAGCGTACGGCCGTTTGAATTTCCCGACTGGTAATGGTCGAGCGCTTGTTGTAGTGAGCCAGGCGAGAAGCCTCGGCAGCAATGCGCTCGAAGATATCATTCACAAAGCTGTTCATGATGCTCATCGCCTTCGACGAAATACCAGTATCAGGGTGGACCTGCTTCAGGACCTTGTAAATGTAGATGGCGTAGCTCTCCTTCCTCTTACGCTTCTTCTTCTTGTCGTTCTTGGTGATATTCTTCTGAGCCTTGCCAGCCTTCTTGGCTGCCTTTCCACTTGTTTTCGGCGGCATTTTCTCACTTCACAAACACAGTTCACTGGTTATAATGGGAGCCCAGTTCGTGCGTTCGTCTTATACTTTTTTTCGAACAAACTCTTCGGCCCAAGGCACAATCCACCCCTAAACGAACGCGCTGTCGGTCGAAAAAGTATAAATGTCTGGCCGCCAGCTGCCTGGCTCACAAACATTTGTTTCCCGTGTGAAAAGTGAATTTAGTGAGAAGTAAAGCAAAATGTCTGGTCGTGGAAAAGGTGGCAAAGTGAAGGGAAAGGCAAAGTCCCGCTCCAACCGTGCTGGTCTTCAGTTCCCAGTGGGCCGTATTCACCGTCTGCTTCGCAAGGGAAACTATGCCGAGCGTGTTGGTGCCGGCGCTCCAGTTTATCTGGCTGCCGTGATGGAATATCTGGCCGCTGAGGTTCTCGAGTTGGCTGGCAATGCAGCTCGTGACAACAAGAAGACTAGGATCATTCCGCGTCATCTGCAGCTGGCCATCCGCAACGACGAGGAGTTGAACAAACTGCTCTCTGGCGTAACCATTGCACAGGGTGGAGTGTTGCCCAACATCCAAGCTGTTCTGTTGCCCAAAAAGACCGAGAAGAAGGCTTAAACGTTCTAAAAACGAAGGAGAGCGACTTCGTCATGTACATAACAAAAACCCAACCGTCCTTTTCAGGACGACCAAGTTTTAAACAAAGAATTGTTAAGATTTTCAAATGCTTATAGAGATATTATAGAATAAGAATCAGTATTAGCTTTTGCCAATATATTTTTTTAATGTTTTTAACTCCGATTAAAATTGGAATACTTCGTTAACAGTGCCACGTGCAAGACTAACAAAAAAAAAACTGATCCAAGGCTCTGTATTGTTAGTAATCGGTAATCATAGCGGAAACTGAATGCATTCGCAGTAGCGTTTAATTAAACATGGCAGTTCCTCAGTACAAGTCTGTAAGACACAAAAGCAGCAGCTGCGCTAAATAAAACAGATGTCTGCTTTCAGGCAACAATAATCAAACATTACATTTAAGAGTGCAGTTTAATATTTCCAATATTTTTGGAGCATTGGCTATATTAATATTAAAAAAAAATACATTTAACTAATAAAGACAGATATAATTGAAAATTCATCTCCTTTAAAATATGAATTTGTGGTCCTGAAAAGGACCGATTGCTTATTGATGTACAGGCTGCTGTACGATTTGTTTAACCGCCGAAACCGTACAGGGTGCGGCCTTGCCTTTTCAGGGCGTACACAACGTCCATGGCTGTGACCGTCTTCCTCTTGGCGTGTTCGGTGTAGGTAACTGCATCGCGGATAACGTTCTCCAAAAATACCTTTAGAACACCGCGTGTTTCCTCGTAAATAAGTCCAGATATGCGCTTCACTCCGCCACGACGAGCCAAACGGCGGATAGCAGGCTTTGTAATACCCTGGATGTTATCACGCAACACTTTGCGATGACGCTTTGCGCCACCTTTTCCTAAGCCTTTGCCTCCTTTGCCGCGACCAGTCATTTTTCACTACTCTTTACTGTTAACACTGCACGAAACGAAAGTCACTGAAGAACTGACTACAATTTCGACGTGCCCCTATTTATACCTAAACCCAGAAAACCAGAGCGGGTCCGAACGACATGTTGTCTTGCTCTTTGCTCGGCAAACGAGACGCCTTGTATCTCCCTCTCTCTCTCGATCAGTTCAACCCTCCACGATTTGCTATATAAGTAGGTAGCAGACGCGCCGAACGTTCACTGTGTTTTAGTTTCAGACGTGAAGTGAACAGAAGTGAATTGAAAGCGAAAACTGAAAATGGCTCGTACCAAGCAAACCGCTCGCAAATCGACTGGTGGCAAGGCGCCACGCAAACAACTGGCTACTAAAGCCGCTCGTAAGAGCGCCCCAGCCACCGGAGGCGTGAAGAAGCCTCATCGCTATCGCCCCGGAACTGTGGCCCTGCGTGAGATCCGCCGCTACCAGAAAAGTACCGAGCTGTTGATCCGCAAACTGCCTTTCCAGCGTCTGGTGCGTGAAATCGCTCAAGACTTCAAGACTGACTTGCGATTCCAGAGTTCGGCGGTGATGGCTCTACAGGAGGCTAGCGAAGCCTATTTGGTTGGTCTCTTTGAAGACACCAACTTGTGTGCCATTCATGCTAAGCGAGTCACAATTATGCCCAAGGACATTCAGTTGGCCCGTCGCATTCGCGGCGAGCGTGCTTAAGTTGAAACGGCTTCAAGTGGCAGCAATGCGCTTTTATTTGTACAAATCGGTCCTTTTCAGGACCACAAAAAGTACTCAATGAGATTAGATTTTCATTTTTTTTTATTATTAAAATTTATTGAGTATTTATTTAAATTGTTATTTTAATTATTGAATATTTTAAGGTTTACTTCCAAACACCTATCTTAAAAATGAATTTCATTTATTTTTTGATAACCAGCCTAAGGAAATGTTTTTTTCAGTCTTAATATTTATCACGGTAAGGTAGCATAGAACAACAACGAACCACCTTGGGCTCTACACACCCTTAAAAACATCGAAAAACTGTTAAAAAACTTTCTGAAAATAACTCGAAAAAACATCAATAAGCTCTTTATTACTTAAACAAAACAAAAAAATATACAAAAATTATAAATTTGCTATTTAAAGGTGAAATGTTAATTCTTCACTGCAGTAAACAAGATTAGGTTTTGTTAAACAACCACGAACTACCGTGGATCTCAAACATCTTTGAAAAATCAAAATAAAAATTTTGAAAACCTACTGAAAAGTTAGTTTGTGAGGAGTTTATTTGTTAAACGAGATTAAAAATGCTAAAAATAAAAAAACTAATTTAAATTTCATATTAATAGCGACACATAGTGTGTAGTAGCAAGTTGCAACTACATTGTACTTCAAACACCATTCAAAAATCGAAAAAGGGTAAAAACTTTATAAAAATCAGTCAGACAAGTTTATATTCGCTCTATTTGTTACATAAAACATAAAATGCTTTGGAAAATATTAAAATTAGATTTTATATGAAGAACTATAAAGAGAACATTTTTTGAAGTGGCACTATTGGTACACGAAACGTAACAGATTTTAAACCTCCTTAAAAAATCGAAAAACTTTTGAAAACCTTAAAGAAAAAATTCAGACATGTTAACGAGTCTTTTATATATTTAACAAACAAAAACTACAATGGAAACAGTTAAAATATTTTTTTTTTTTTATGTTAACTTGACAGTGACCCTAATCATGCCTTTGTATAGGATACAAGGGAAGCCATCTTGGATAAACCGTTTATAATAATGTTTTAAATCAAGTCTGTATTGAAGCATATTCATGATATATTGAAGATAAAAACAAATACCTTAACAATTTTAAAATATTTATATTTTTTTAATTTTTATAACTATTGCCTGACGTATTCTCATAGACAACTTTTTATGTAGCATAAGGTCAAACTAAAACGTGTTATAAAATACCTTAACTTAAGAAATGTGGTTATTTGTTAATTGATTCTTAAAGTTAAAAGTTTAAATTTTCCTTTGTGTTATTTAATATTAATATATAAGAAAGAATTCAAATTAAAAACTATGTTTTTAAATAAAATGCTCATGTTACGTATGTTAATGTTCAAGTTCGAGCTGTAATAAAAATGCACTAAAACTAGACATTACAATTTTTACATTTCTAATTGCTTAATGGAATATTTGAGCATACAACAGAACAAAAACATTAATTGAATTTAAGACCTAAACGAACGAAATAAAAGAATTAAGTTTTTACTTCAAGCAAACATTAGCAGAGCAAATGACTGATTGGATACCCAGAGTTGAAGTGCTCTCCTCCTCGCTTCTCATTCGAACGAAGGAGGTCGGCAACAAACGCGCGCGCCATTTTCTAAGCAAAAAAGTGTATTTTAGTGAAGAAAAATGTCTGATTCTGCAGTTGCGACGTCCGCTTCCCTAGTGGCTGCCCCACCAGCGCCAGTTGAGAAGAAGGTGGCCGCCAAAAAGGCTTCTGGATCCACTGCCGCAAAGGCAAAGAAGGTCGCCGCGCCACCATCTCACCCACCAACACAGCAAATGGTAGACGCCTCTATCAAGAACTTGAAAGAACGTGGCGGCTCGTCTCTCCTTGCAATTAAGAAATATATCACTGCCACTTACAAATGCGATGCCCAGAAACTGGCTCCATTCATCAAAAAGTATTTGAAATCTGCCGTGGTCAACGGAAAACTGATCCAAACAAAAGGAAAAGGTGCGTCTGGTTCATTTAAACTATCGGCCTCCGCCAAAAAGGATCCCAAGCCTAAGGCTGCGTCTGCTGAAAAGAAAGTGAAAAGCAAGAAGGTAGTCGCCAAGAAGGCCGGAGCTGGAGCCACCACTAAGAAAGCTGCCGGAGCTGCTGACAAGAAGCCCAAGGCAAAGAAGGCTGTGGCCACCAAAAAGACCGCCGAGAAAAAGAAAACCGAGAAGGCAAAGGCGAAGGATGCCAAGAAAACGGGAACCGTTAAGGCAAAGCCAGCAGCAGCAGCAAAAGCCAAGTCTACTTCAGCAAAGCCAAAGGCAGCCGTCAAAGCACCAAAAGCCAAGCCGGCGGCTTCTGCCAAGCCCAAAAAGGTGGTGAAGAAGGCAGTTGCTCCCGCTACCGCTAAAAAGCCGAAAGCAAAAACAACGGCAGCCAAGAAATAAACTGCGTACACGCTCGATGTCGCTGTACAGTCGCAATTTCAGATTTCGAAATCTGAGATTCGTTTAAACAAGCCCTTTTCAGGGCTACAAACTAAGTCTTTAAGAGAAATAATCTTTCAATTCGACATTTTAATGTCATATATTATTAATTGTTTATTGCGTTTTGCTATTGTCTGTTAAACTAAATTTACTGATTTTCGCAGTGAGCACCATAATGTTTATCAACATTATAAGTAAGTCAATAAAATCAGACTTTGGTACTGGCAAAGATTAATCAGATTAGTCTGAAGATCAAATAAAACAAAAGAAAAGTCCAGCTTATATTAACATGTTATGTATTATCTCCTTGGCAGGAATTGCTGAAAAATTGAATATTGAAAATGTACTTTCTTTGGTAAACATTTTTGTGGCCCTGAAAAGGGCCGTTTTTGATATTCTTTGCATCCATAGCGAGAGAAAATTACTTGGAGCTGGTGTACTTGGTGACAGCCTTGGTTCCCTCACTGACAGCGTGCTTGGCCAACTCTCCCGGCAGGAGCAAGCGTACGGCCGTTTGAATTTCCCGACTGGTAATGGTCGAGCGCTTGTTGTAGTGAGCCAGGCGAGAAGCCTCGGCAGCAATGCGCTCGAAGATATCATTCACAAAGCTGTTCATGATGCTCATCGCCTTCGACGAAATTCCAGTATCAGGGTGGACCTGCTTCAGGACCTTGTAAATGTAGATGGCGTAGCTCTCCTTCCTCTTACGCTTCTTCTTCTTGTCGTTCTTGGTGATATTCTTCTGGGCCTTGCCAGCCTTCTTGGCTGCCTTTCCACTTGTTTTCGGCGGCATTTTCTCACTTCACAAACACAGTTCACTGGTTATAATGGGAGCCCAGTTCGTGCGTTCGTCTTATACTTTTTTTCGAACAAACTCTTCGGCCCAAGGCACAATCCACCCCTAAACGAACGCGCTGTCGGTCGAAAAAGTATAAATGTCTGGCCGCCAGCTGCCTGGCTCACAAACATTTGTTTCCCGTGTGAAAAGTGAATTTAGTGAGAAGTAAAGCAAAATGTCTGGTCGTGGAAAAGGTGACAAAGTGAAGGGAAAGGCAAAGTCCCGCTCCAACCGTGCTGGTCTTCAGTTCCCAGTGGGCCGTATTCACCGTTTGCTTCGCAAGGGAAACTATGCCGAGCGTGTTGGTGCCGGCGCTCCAGTTTATCTGGCTGCCGTGATGGAATATCTGGCCGCTGAGGTTCTCGAGTTGGCTGGCAATGCAGCTCGTGACAACAAGAAGACTAGGATCATTCCGCGTCATCTGCAGCTGGCCATCCGCAACGACGAGGAGTTGAACAAACTGCTCTCTGGCGTAACCATTGCACAGGGTGGAGTGTTGCCCAACATCCAAGCTGTTCTGTTGCCCAAAAAGACCGAGAAGAAGGCTTAAACGTTCTAAAAACGAAGGAGAGCGACTTCGTCATGTACATAACAAAAACCCAACCGTCCTTTTCAGGACGACCAAGTTTTAAACAAAGAATTGTTAAGATTTTCAAATGCTTATAGAGATATTATAGAATAAGAATCAGTATTAGCTTTTGCCAATATATTTTTTTAATGTTTTTAACTCCGATTAAAATTGGAATACTTCGTTAACAGTGCCACGTGCAAGACTAACAAAAAAAAAACTGATCCAAGGCTCTGTATTGTTAGTAATCGGTAATCATAGCGGAAACTGAATGCATTCGCAGTAGCGTTTAATTAAACATGGCAGTTCCTCAGTACAAGTCTGTAAGACACAAAAGCAGCAGCTGCGCTAAATAAAACAGATGTCTGCTTTCAGGCAACAATAATCAAACATTACATTTAAGAGTGCAGTTTAATATTTCCAATATTTTTGGAGCATTGGCTATATCAATATTAAAAAAAAAATACATTTAACTAATAAAGACAGATATAATTGAAAATTCATCTCCTTTAAAATATGAATTTGTGGTCCTGAAAAGGACCGATTGCTTATTGATGTACAGGCTGCTGTACGATTTGTTTAACCGCCGAAACCGTACAGGGTGCGGCCTTGCCTTTTCAGGGCGTACACAACGTCCATGGCTGTGACCGTCTTCCTCTTGGCGTGTTCGGTGTAGGTAACTGCATCGCGGATAACGTTCTCCAAAAATACCTTTAGAACACCGCGTGTTTCCTCGTAAATAAGTCCAGATATGCGCTTCACTCCGCCACGACGAGCCAAACGGCGGATAGCAGGCTTTGTAATACCCTGGATGTTATCACGCAACACTTTGCGATGACGCTTTGCGCCACCTTTTCCTAAGCCTTTGCCTCCTTTGCCGCGACCAGTCATTTTTCACTACTCTTTACTGTTAACACTGCACGAAACGAAAGTCACTGAAGAACTGACTACAATTTCGACGTGCCCCTATTTATACCTAAACCCAGAAAACCAGAGCGGGTCCGAACGACATGTTGTCTTGCTCTTTGCTCGGCAAACGAGACGCCTTGTATCTCCCTCTCTCTCGATCAGTTCAACCCTCCACGATTTGCTATATAAGTAGGTAGCAGACGCGCCGAACGTTCACTGTGTTTTAGTTTCAGACGTGAAGTGAAC